GCTTCATTGTCCATCCTAAGAACTGTTTCCTTACTGTCCAGCTTTCTACTTCTTGTCATCATTTGCAAATCATTGTAAATATATGAGCCAGAGCTGATATCTAATACCCAAGAAGCATTATTAACTTATAAGTTAATTTCAACAAAATAAACACCTGAACACTTCAGGTTTGCAAGATATTCCTTACAATTCCTCTTTCAGTGCCTTAATTTGTCACAATGGAAACACTCGTGATCAGTCATTTTGTTTTGCTCATGAATACATGTAATTGGATTTTTAACCATTTTAGTATAATGTTCTACTAAAATAAACGAAGCAGAAAATGAATAGACTATGAAAATATAGTCATTTAATATAGGGTCTTTGATATTAAATGTCTCCCACTATTTTAATTAAACCCCATAAAATTTTGAAAAACAAATTTTCATTGTGGGCTTGAAGCCCAATAAAAATATTTCATATCCCAATTTATGAGTACGCACAACATTTTTGACAATTGTATCACTATACAATCTTCAAGTTTATTTTGCCTCACTTTTCTTATATACCCCAATTTTATGACCGTATATAGTACTAAGTGTCAAATTAAACCCATCAAACATTCGTGATAATGGTGCATCAAGGTGTCCCACGACTCGTGGCCAACACAAAGACGAATCCATCTCACGAGCATCACAATGCTTAGTAAAGATCACAGCTTTCAGCACAAAGCCATCCCACGACTCATGGTTAGTGACTAAGCACCGTAGCATCGTCATGTCATCTACTTTTGATGGAAGGCATGGATTAATAGGTCCAACCCATTTTCATCGAATTAAATTCCTTAATAGTTTCAAAAACTTAGGGTTTATTTTAAGACCTCATCAACTTAAATTACTAAGTGAGTTTATTTAATGCAACATTCATCATATGAAACGCAAGCAACAAGCATTAAACAAATCTAACATGCATCTAATGCGATGGGATGATCACAGCCATGCCTATAAGACCCATTGAGCCAAAATGGGTCTATTTCTATATACGGGATAAAATAAATAGAACTACTTCTACTACATTTTATTTTATCAACCCGTACAAGCACAGGCCTTCAAAATTTACAACTTGTAAAATTACCCGCACAAGTGTGGGCCTTTTGCATCGAACGGCCTTCAACATGATCTAATTTACTCTCGATGCAATGGATTAAAATTATACAAATTATTGAATAAGAGACTCGCAGGTCTCGATAAATTACAAACATTCAATCATATTGAATAAAAGGCTCATGATCATCCCTAAATAAATATGCTAAAAACATTCATCACATGAATTAAAAGCATATAAATTTACTAAATTTTGTGTGTTGATTTAATTTTGGGATTAATAAATATTAACTATTCATAATAATTAATCTAATTAATTTAGATTTAACTTTTAAATCTAAACTTAAATAAAACAAATAAATACACATTTGTATTTATCACTAGAGAACCATTCTCTTTATCACATACAAATTGATTTGCATTTTTTTTTTATTTCGGACATCATATGTCCTATGAGAATCAAATTCTCAATGAGGAATCAATCAGATGGTTTTGATTTTCTTATCCCATGTACATATCATATATATAAATATAAACATTTTTTTTTAATATCATGTGGGGCGCAATGAAGTTGCCCCACAAACATTTTACTAACATCACGGTGGGTGGAGAACATGTCAACCATATGAAAACACAACACCCCTCCCCATTATATTATTAAGAAGATGCAGAGATTCTAAATCTCTGATTTTTTTTTTTTTATCTAATTTGCAAATCAAATTTGCAACCCCACCAATTAAATATGTCAATAGTGCAAATCTCATTTGCATTGAATAAATCAAAACCAATCTCATTTGTATGGTGCTGTCAAAGTAGACGTCACACGTCCAGGGACATAAGAAAACTTGCATCTCATTTCAAAGTTCTTTTTTTTTTCTTTCTAAACGGATAATAATATATATCTATCAACTCAAAATCATTTGTACAAATGGGCGTACCAAAATGGTACTTGCCTTGGCTATGAGACTAAGCCAAGTTACATGACTAAACAGTCACCAAGAGATACAATGCAGACAGAAAGCAAAATATACAGATAAATTTACAAGAAGAGAGAGTACATAGATATAAAACAGATGACATGAATTGGGGAGGTCTTCAACCACTGAGCTATCAGCTCCTAGTTAAGAGATCTCTCCAGAGATAAAAGGAATTGCTGCACAAGCAGGCTCACCACTGAGCCAAGATCCCTAGCGCCCTTCCTCCACAGCAACTCCTCCCAAAAAAGATAAATAACTGACAAAAGCATTTGAAAAAGAAGCAGAACTTAGCAAAAAATTCAGGCTGCTGTAATGGATACATCTTCAAATTCCCTCCACTCAAGCCATTGCCTTTTTGCTAGTTCAACTTCAGAAATCCATACTTTGTTAAAGAGCCAATGGTTACGAGTTTTCCATAGCCACCAAAGGATGTAGGTTGAAAAGTGAACTCTATCTCATTTCAAAGTTCATTTGGCCTTTTTTATTTTAATTGCAGTAGGTGAGAAATTGGTTGGCGAACATTTCCACCCACACCTTCTTTATTATATATACATTTAAATAAAACAAATAAAGTAAATGGGTCACTATCCATTAACAAAATCATAACATGATGATTATTTTTTTATTTATTTAAAGGAAATGAGAAAATCCAATTCTCTCTCTACTGCTGCCCAAATTCAACATTTGTGAAGAAAAATCTCTTCAGCAGCACATACATATAATCAACATTTGATTATATTTAATTATTACCAAACATCAAATCACATAAAACTATTTTATCACACACAAAATAAATATAAGTTAACAATTAAATATGTTTATCACATAAACATAATCAAATCAAAATCTGATTTTAAAGATGCAAATCTGGTTCTGATACCACTGTTGGGTTCGCTATACCGTACGGGGTAAGACGCAGCGGAAATAAAACGAAATAAATAAGCATTTATCTAATAAATACTAAACCCCTTGGTTAAAATAGCAATTGTTACGATCAGCATTTTTTAAAATCACGTAAAAATACGAATTTTGATTTGTAGAGAATTTTGAAAATTACCTTTAATTTTCTTCAAATAGCGACGATGAAGAGGAAATCAATTCCCGGTTATATGGCTATCATCGTCTTCGTACTCCTTAAGGGATTCAAGTGTCTCCCCTCTAATCGAGTCCACCTTTTAGATTATGACTTCGAGAACAATTTCTTCGCTATCGATATTTTGGAATCGAATAAAAGAGAGATTTTTTTTTTCTTTGAAGAAGCCGAGAACAACAATTGTTCTCTTTCTTCAAAAACTAAGTTGGGAGAGCTTGTCTTATATCATTTCAATATGTATCAAATACATATATATATATATATATATATACATTACAAAGGTGATAAGACGTTTTGGCCACCACCTCCAATTTGATTTACTCTAATGATAATTATGATGATCATTAGGTGGATTATGCAACAATTTTTTTTTTTTAATCTTTAATCTTAATTAAAGATTAATTAAAAATAATTCAAGATAATGATCCATAATTTATGAAACCAACTTTCTAAATTAATTGATCAAAATCTTATCTCCCATGTAAAATAAAATCTCCTTTTTTATGTAAGCTTTTAATATATAATCATATTAAAATTTTGATTTGAATTTTAAAGTCCAGCTTTAAAATCCAACTATTAATTTAGTAATTCCAATAATTACTTAATTAATATCCAAAGCCTAATTAATCAATCCAATTGATTAATTTATTTTATTCCTTTAATTTACATCTAATCAAAATTAAATTTTAATTAAATAATTAAATTATTTAATTAAGTCTTGTCAATTAATCCAACTATTGGAAATACCAATTTCAAAATAGTCATCATCCAAAATTTGGTGTGACCCTTTTAGGTTCACAATTAACACTAGTAGTGGGTTTATAACTCGTTTGTAATTTAAATTAATCTAATTAATTTATATTCTTGAAATTAACTCCTTAATTTCAAGAACCCACGAATCATGGGAACACCTAGCAAGTGGCATGATTATCTAGTGTTAAGTGAAATAGCGAGTAAACATTTTCAATTGCAAGTGCATACATGTAAAATCTTTTCGACAACTAATTTCCCGATTAACTCTTGGGCATGGATTTATAAGTCGAAACCCAATTGATTTAATAGCTATGATTTCATTTCAAGTTTAGTGATTCCTTTATGAATCCATATTCATCCTGCCTTGGCCAAGGTTTTTGAATCACAAACTATGAAAAACATAGGAAATTCACTTATCCACATAAGTGTCGAATTCTTTGTTGGCCACAGATAAATCTCCATACATATTAATACACTACCCAAAATATCCCTTTTTATGATTGTCCAGCAATCAAATGATAAATCAAAGTAAAGCACAATATGCACAAGATTACTATCGTGTCTCAAGTCATAGGATTAGTCATGTACTATTGCAACATGAAAATTCTTATTCGACAGTTAAAACTTTCAGTTAAGAATTTTCATCGGGTCATGTTCAGTGAACTTGTTCCTCAACAAGCACCCGCATATATGCATTTGCGTCCACACGCTAATGTTGATGGAATGCAACATTCTCGTCTGACGAGCATACATCATATGCACAAGTCTTACAGGGTTATTCGATGTCCTGTCTTGAAACACCTATCGACTTGGAACTTATTTAAGATGACAACTTTAAAGACATGTTCCATGATTGCCATCAAATGCGCAACCATGCCTCATAGCTAATGATGATCTAAGGACTTTATCATATGTGCAAATATAAGATAAATGCAAATACATAAGATAAAGCTATGCCTTAAAATAATATAATTTTCAATAAATTGTCTTTAAAAGTATAAATATATCCAATCAGATTGGAACGCCGGGTATTCTACTCTAACACTAGGCAGTTCGATGGGCCCATTTCCGCCCTAGTTTATGGAGGCATGCTCTATGTATGGTTATCCGATGCCGATGGGGAATATGGTCTTCCGGCCACCGCTAGTTGGGGCTGTCCCGGGCCCATATAATCTGAACATTGCGAGTGAGGTTGTCGCTGCTGCTATGGGCAAGGTCTTTTCCTTTATGAACCCGTAACGAAAGGTTCCGGTGAAGAGGTCTCGTAGCCAGAAGTCAATCAATCCACCTCTGATTGATTAGAAAGATCAACCCTAAGAACGAAGCAAAGCGAAGCTTTCTCGACATGTCACGTTTTTCGAACCCTTACTACTGAGCTCGGGGTTTTGAGCTGTAATGGTGGGCCATTATGTTCCCTTGTCAAACGAGGGTCGATGTAATTGAGGAGGAGTTTTTGTGAGATAGTGTCTGAATTCTCTGATTCAATAGAGTCAGCAACTTTTTTTGTGAAAAGGGTTTAAATATTACCCAATAAAATATACTGCCAAGTAGTACATTAAGAAAACTTCTGCCTTTTTCACCTAATACAGAAAAAAATATTTGTCCAGATATTTAAGTTTACGGTGATTCTTGTAAAAGAGTGTGGCCGGCAAACACTGTTTATTATCCTTACATGGTTGTAGATGTAGAAATCGGATCTTGACCGACAGCCGACGGGAGAAACGAACACAAGGTCGCCACACGATGCTCGGACCATCACTTCTGGGAGCGGTAGAAACTCCAGATAAGACCAAGACCTCTGAAGAGACATTGATTCCTTGGAAAATATGTTACACAGCCAGTGGAGGTGGTGATGGGATATGAAACTAGAAACAAACCGAGCCTGGGAAATAAGGGAGTGCGTTCGACAAAAAATCTGGGAAAAAACGGGGATTATGAATGGAGAATGGGAAATTCGGCAGACGAAAAAATATCTCTAAATAAGAACAAAAGTAGGAAAAGACATATATCCCTAGGGCAAGAAAATTTGGGGGAAAAAGTGATACCGGAAATCACAAAGTCCAGCCCACAAAAAAAATCGACAAAATAATCCGAGGATGAACGTGGACTACGAACGGAGAAGAATGGGAAATTCGAGGAAGGACGTGTTAGAAGAACAAAAGGAGATGAGAGAGATTAGGAAAAACTCTAATAAAAGTTTGTTTTTTCCTTGGCCGAATAATTAGAGAGGGATTAGGAAATTAGACTGACATGTCAAAAGACACGTCAGGAGTACTTGATGCGGTGGGAAACAGACGGAAGAAGGAGAATTTATGTATAACAAAAAAAATCTTGATAAATCATACTTTTACCATTCGATATGAACGGAAATGCTCCCCTACCCACAGTGGGCACATGTTAATATGTTCATCGCTTATGTGGCATGCACACATTGGTGATGTATTTTTTTTAACATATTAACATCACCAATGTGTGCATGCCACATAAGCGGTGAGCATATTAACAATAGGGGTGTTCACGGTCCGGATTGGTCCGATTTTAGCCCAAACCATGACCAAACCGGACCTAACGGTTAATTTTTTTTCTTATTCCTAACCGGACCGTTTTTATTTTTTAACCGGCCACAATCCGGACCGCATTGGACGGTCCGGTTTGGCGGTTAACCGGTTAAATCCAAAATCTTTGTTTTGGGCCTTCAATTTTTATTTTTTTTCATTTTGGGCTTAATTTTTATTTTTCAATTTTGGGTCCAAAAGAGATTATTTGGGCCTAAAAATTAAGAAAAAACAACAATAATAAAATAAAAAATACACAATTCGTCACATAAGCATAAAAATACACATTTCGTTCCATAAACATAAAAATACAAAAATGATGAAGATTAAATTATGCAAAGAGAAGGTGGGAAAATCTGAAAATGAAAAACGAAGGTGGAAAAAAATGAAAAGTTATAGTGTCTTACAAAATTAAGTTAACAAAAGGCCAAAAAGTGAAAGTGAATGTATTGTATTTATCAGCCATAGTGAATGACTGAATATATATATATATATATATATATATTTGTTATAGTTTTTTAATATTTACCGGTCCGGTCCGGTTAAACCGGCGATTTGCCGCAGGTAATCCGTTAACCGGACCGGTTATTCTGAATTTTTTAAAAAATTAACCATCGTAATTTTTAAGGCTTTTTTAACTGACCATTTAACCGATTCGCGTCCGGATTGACGGTTGTTTTTGGTTAAAACCGGACCGCGAACACCCCTAAGAGCATCCACAATGTTTTGGGTTTAATCCAAAAAATTACATGCCACATAAGAAATAGACCTAGTAGAGACCCGGTCTCTCCCTTAAATCTATTTTAAACTCAAATAGAGACCTAGTCTATTTGCATTGGAATGAATTTAATTTTACATAGTTTTATCCATGTTATCTAAGACTTTTATTTACTTGGCACATAGCCAAGACTAGACCATCGAGATGAACATCGAAATATCTTTGTAGAGCGAGAGAGTGGAGGGAGAAAAACAAAAAGGATGCCACTGGGAAAATTCTACTGCGATTACTGCGACAAACAATTCCAGGATACACCCACCGCCCGGCGACGCCACCTCAAAGGCACCGCCCACCAGAGGGCCAAAGCTCTCTGGTACGACGCCGTCCGCTCCTCCTCCCACTGTCCGTTTCTCATTTCCCGCTCTCAAAACGCATCAATCATTTTCAACGTCTACTCTGTTTAATTCGATTTCTTTTCTCTCTCGTTTTAGTTGCTCTGAATGAGGTCGAAGATCCTATGTTTATGGCCAAAGGAGTCTGCAATCGGTTCGTCCGTACGGTAAAGACTCTCACTCACCGTTACCCTTGTATATGCGTGTGTTATATATATATATATATTTAGCTGTTAGATTCAGGGTAGTCCATTCTAATGTAAACTATTATTTTCGAATAGACTGCAGAGTAAGTAAACTCCTTCACGGAGACTTGGTTTCGGAATTCTGTCAAGAAGTTGATTTTTCATCTACAAATAGCTGAAGTTATTTCTCAAGGTCGTTGTAGATTATGTGCTTGTTAATTTGTTACAGGATTATTTATCTTTTAGTTATAATTTGGGGGGTGGGGGTAGATTCTTTCTTTCCCTTGACATAGATTAAATGTTGGAACTCTTTCAAGTCTCAGTTGGTAGACATGCGATAAGGGAAAACATAGTAGGATAAACCTTCAAAGTTTTAATGTAATTTACTGCTAATTTCCATACAAAGGAAATGGTCTAAGCTAAACCTTCAAGAGTAGTGCCCTGCATATCGACTTATGCTGATATATTTTTTCCGGTGACCTTTTGGAATGGGATTATCATGTTTTTTTTTTTTTTGTTTTTTTTGTTAATTTGTGTATTTCACTAATTTTAGTGCATTAATTCCTTGCTATGGTGCCCCCCTAAGTTGAAATAACCCCATTTTCATTTTTTTTCATCTGTGCAAGTTAAAACTATTAGCTTCCCTTGGGCCTTGAATGTTGAAAAATTTTAGCCGTCAGTTGCTAGGCATCACAAAAGAACACATATTTGTGTTCTAACTAGAGTTGCATAATTTTCAGAATTCAGGAGATGGCGGACAAATATTTATTTCGTACGAAATTTATATATTCATCATTTCAATTTTCTCTATAAATGTGACATTGTACCAAAATAATTCAATCATGTGTCCTAAAATTATAATATCTCCCCCGATAGGACAGTGGTGTATGCCGTAAAAAAGTGTTATTTGTTTTTTAATTTTTTATTTTCATGCTCTATTCCAATGTTCCCTCCGGCTGTAATGTGCCACATTGCTGTCTGCAATCCTCTTAATTTAGCCTTCAAAATTTTTACCATTTATTCTAGGGGTCATGCCAGTATGGAGATTCTTGTAAATACTATCATCCGAAGAAGAATGTGCCGAATCTGAATCCTCAAGGAGCCGAAGGTAGTTGACTATCTTGAGTTATTCCATACTTGTTTATATAATTATATCAAACATGTCAAGAATTATAATTGTTTGCGATGACCCTGTCAACAGCAGCTGTACTTTTTGGAAATCAAATGGGGACATCACTGGGGAACCTACCCCCTTCTCTATGGCCACCTCCAGACGGTGGATACCCGCCCCTACCATTCGTCGATTGGGGATAGGTGTGTAATTTCACTCAAAATAAGGCACTATTTACTATATCCAGGACAGTTTCTCAATATATATATATTGTGTAGAACTCGTTTCTCATTTGTGTTTTGTAATGTACTATATCCAGGACAGTTTTTGTTTCTTGATTTATCTAACTAGTTTTTCAAAACATTTATTTTACTGTATTTTCCAAACATGAATGCTAAAATATCGGGTACTATATTATGGCGAAGTTGCATAAGGATTTTTGGAGCTTGCGTACTTGTTTGAGTGTTCATAGGTATGCCCGTATGAACAATATAATATTCCCTGGTCTATGTTTGGAAAATACAGTAAAATGTGAGTTATTTTGTTCATGACACTAATAAGCTGTTTCTGGAAGCCGATGACCGCTTTGTAATTGACTATATTTGTTTGATTTATGTTGGTGAATATATTAGTCTTCTTGCTTTTATTTCGTGATTCATAGGCTAAAGTTGTTAATTTATGATCTTTTTTCTAGAAAGAATTCCCTGGCTCCCATTTAAGGATCTTGTTCTATTGAACCGTGTTGTTTTCTTGCAATGTTCTGTTTGTTTGTCCTCTGAGCACCTTTTGGTTTAAACAATGGCGCATTCTAAACTAAGAATTTGCCTCTCGTAATGTTTTGTCTTTTTCGTTTCTTTTAGTAGATTGCTGTATATGCAATCTTGGTATGGGTTTATCATCTGGTGTCGTATTCTTATATAACGTGTGTATACCAAGACAATTATCTGGTTTTCATATATGAAATTGGATATATTTCTTCGCTTAGTTGGGACCAAATTGTTCATTTGATTGCACTGTGCAAAATTTTTGAATGAATCTGTATATTTTGCTAGGTAACTTGGATAAAAAGGTTGCAAATGTTTAGCATATAAGATTATAAAGTTGTCTTCACCTGGTTTTTCACCATTGAATTGACACAGGGTTTGAATTAGCTGATATATTTTACAAGTACTACTGCAGATGTACCGCATCATCCCAGTCTTTTTACCTTAAAGAAGACTCATCCAATCGACTAGAAGAAATTATCATGATCTTCACCTTCCAACTTATCATGGTGAAATCGAACTATGCCGACTCATTATTATCGGTACCAAATATTCTGATACGGTCATGCAATTCTTAAGTCTTAGTATAACCAAATAGAACCGATTTTGTTTTTAAAAATAATATGGGCCATTTTCCAGATCTGTGTATCCTAAATTCCAATTAAAATTAGAGTTATTCGTTTACACTCTCCTACTAAGGTTTAACATCCGTGTGGCTTCTTTCCTTTTTTCTGTCTCTTGCTGCTGTATTTTTATTTTCCCTTGCTTTAACTTCTTTCTTCATCCCTGATTTGCCTTTTTCTTTCTTTTCCTTTTACCTTTTGTTATGGGTTTGGTTTTTGTTAGAAGTTGGACTGCTATTTTACAGTTTTGGTTCCTTTTCCAGCCAAAACTGCTACTAATTCTTGGCCTAAAGCTCTGCCGCACTCTGTGATGTTTAGTTTGCAACTTGTTTTTTCGTTCTTTGGTAAAGCCAATCTCCAAATCATACTGAACCGAAAACTTGGGTTACCGAGTTGAAAACTTCGGTTAATGAACAAAAAATCAATCCATTTTCAATTTCATGAAATGAGAATAACGAAATTGTCAAATTGGTTCGGTGATTAGTGATACTGTTCAATTACCGAACTAAAACCACCCCCAATAACAAACTTGTGCGAGACGAACTACCCATTGGACGAGTCCACCTGCCGTACTTCATTTTTAACAAAAATTAATATTTATATTTCAAAATGACATATTTTTATTTATATTATTCTTTGAAGTATGACATTTCAATGTGAAAGTATGCATATATGTTAAAAAAAAAATATGTGATTAATCGTCGGGCCTGCCAAAGATTTAACTTTATTGTTAAAAAATATGTGAAAAGAAAGCAACATGTAATAATGTCCAGAAAGCGTCTAACCTTCATCCACCCAAACTGTTGTTATTAACTGCATTCTGAGAGACTGTCCATCTTTGCACACACAAATATAAATATGTATACATATTAGGATTTATTCACCATCACCAGAGCTAATTAAATATACAAAGAGGCTAGTATCTCCAAAAGGGAAGCCACAAATTGCATCTGGGTGGCCTCATCTATTGTCGAGAAGAGAGGCACGTGCACAAACACCGACTTTATCCCATTCTCTTCGGCAAAACGCAAAGAGTGATAGTACACATAGTTGCACACAAACCGGCCAGCATCGTCTGAGGTCGTCACTTCATACCCCATTTTAGCCAGCGATTTTGCAATGTCCTCAACCGGAAGGGCAGTCTGCGAAACGGTTTTTGTGCTTCAAATTTTTACAAAATTATAAAAATACTTTAATAGATTGAGGCATGTTCTTCTCTTTTTCCTCCTTTTTTTTTTAATTATCCTTTTCCTGAAGTTTTATTTTTAGTTTAGACTGCACAAATATGGGGAAGCATGTAATGTGAAAGTGATAAGAGCATATTATCATCAAGAATGCTTATAGTTTTTCCCTTTTCAACCAAGTATTGAGATAATTTTTAAGTTATTTCAATAATTCCAAACAAAAGCATACACCAAAAATCTAATACTCCCTCCGTTTCAAAATTATTGTCATCCTACAGAAAAATAGAAGAATAAAAATTTCAAGGTAAATTATAATTATGAGATTATTTTAATATTTTTATATAAATATAATTAGAATAATAGATTAGAAGACAAAAAAACTCAGCCGAAAACTACGTTTAAAACAAATGGAGTATTAATCACAGTTCTCCATACACGAAACACCAAAACAAGTACATGCAAATGCAAATGAACAGCAACAGGTAAACACAAAGAACGTATATGAAAACTACAAAAAGCAAGCATCTTGCATTTTAGTGGTCAACAAAGCTATAGTGAACTAAACCTTGGTACGCCAATAACCAGTAATCAACACAATAGGTTTCACCAATTATCCAAGATTCTTTTCTTGGCCTAGGTAAAAATAAGCCTCGAAATAAAATAACGCAAGCAAATATATGTGAACCATACCTCCCGAATTCGTGAAATCCCACCATCTGCTGGAACAATGGCAACTTTCTGTAAATGCAAATCATAGTTAAATCAAGCTTCTCCAATCTTGAAAAATTGGGATAAGATTACGAGAAATTAAGACGAGTGTAACCTGAGGCTTCCATCCCATCTCATCCGGGCAACGGAAAGTAGCTTCATTAAAAGCTTGGTTCTCTAAAGCAAATCTTGTTGCTCCACTATTTACCCCAAAATGAACCTGCAAACAAAGCGTCAACATGAAAATGCAAATGTTAAAACATGAAAATGCATCTAAATATAGTGATGACGGTAAAGCTTTCAGGATCAAAAGCTTTACCTTTTAACTCTAGGTAACCGGGATGAAAATTTGTAATCATGAAAGTTTGAAATTGATGGTGGTATCTATAGATTTTATATGCAGATAATGCTTTGAACTTGTTAAATGCCTACAAAAAATGGGATTCCCTTGAGCAAAGTTTACAAGAACGAGGTACGAAAAATAAAGTTGCCCATCAATGTGTGGAAAATTCGGTTATACAAGGAAGAATGTGATGAAGAAAGTTAAACATTTTTTTGTATTTCCAATTTTCATTTTTTTATTTATCTAGGGCTATACGAACTCGAACAGTAGACTTTCTCGGCAAAACAGACCAAACTTATAATTATCAAAATGATCTGACCTGTTAGCATATGGAACAGTTGGAATTGAAAGTGAATGTATTTTTTCTTCTATTCCTTTTATTCTTTCATTATCAAAATAATTGTTCCAAGAACATTAAACAACTCCAGATTGGAAATGTTGGCAAACAAGCCCCATAAACATGAGCAGAAATGTCAATGGAGGATGATAGAAAGTTGTAATTTAATATCAACATGGTCAACAATACTTGCAAATTATGTAAAATGCAATATCCTGGCCTTTCTAAGAGTGTCACAAAGCTAATGCTCATTTATTAAACTAGTTTCGCATGAAGTAACCACATGCTCAAACAAGAAAAAATTTTCAGCCCTAATCCAAAATTGCATTAAAAATTAAAGAAGAATAACCACTTCTTCCATTAGTGGATAAAAGCAAGTTTTGTTTTGTCGAACGAAAAGAAACCACTTAAGTTCTTTCTCCTTGTCCCCAATCTACCCATGATTTCAAGCAACTCACCCAAGACAATACCCAAAAAAGTGTAAAACGAGCAGCAAAAACTCACCCAAATAACACTACCCGAATTTGGCATGTCGGCATTCATGCTCACAGCAGATTGCAATGTTTGGTATAAAGAAACAAGAGCTCCATGACCCGCTGTTTCAAGAATTGTGCAACTTCCTAGGATTAACCCTTTTGGCAGACCCCGTTTGTTCATAAAAGCTTCGAGATTGCTCACAATAGTCTCGGTTGGATTTTCTGTAACTCCATGGAATTTTTTAAATCCTGTCACATGGATAGTTACAGCAGCAGTAGGACCTTCAGACCCCATTTAGATACTTACCCAATTTATGTGGATTGTTCAAAGAATGGAATGTCTGAATTTTGGTCCTGAGTACCTAAAAGGAAAATTAATAAATTGTGATCAACCATAAGTAAGAGATATGGCCTCCACTTCATCTACAAACAACACCAAAGAATCACTAAGCTAAAGAAAAGAAAAGAAAAGGGATAAAAGAGAAGAATGAAGACAATTCAATATTTCTGAAGCCAGAAAAAAAGTAAATGTCTCTAAGATCTGCATGAACAAAAACTTAGAAGAGAACTCAACAGAGAAACCAAAAAGGCACATCTAGAAGATTTTAGAAAGAATCATTACAAAACCAACATAACAACTAAACAAAACAAATTCTTGATTTCACTTGATTCTTAAGCATTTATTACTAAAATTGGCTTCAAGAACAAGAACCCCAGCTCAAGAACCAGAGATGCCATAACCAGTAGAGAGAATCTAAACTCCATTTGAACCAAAACAGAAATTATCAAGAAAATCAACTCATTGAAACCCAAAACATGGATTGAGGAGAGAAGAACACGAAGATTACCCCAACAGGAACCAACTTCCGACTAAAGGTTGAGTCTTTCTCGACGGCTATGCTCAGACAGATGCTAAATATAATAGGATATATATATATATATATAAAATGCCTCAACAATCAGCCTTATCTACACATTGAATTATTAGTAATTGTTTTTGGGACTCTGCTCAGCCTAAAACGGATTCCTATTCCTCAAATTAATGATTTATTCGACTTTTTTACTCGATGTGTCTGCGGGTCTCAACAATTTTCAGAAGAAAAGGACAAAACAATTGTAGTAGGTGAGACAGAGTAGATTGGATAAAGAGAACGTGGGTTTCCTGGGGTGGATATAGAATTTTGGGAAATCCTATATGTACATAATTGTAATAATAGTGTACATAGATGCACCATTCCAAGATAATAATCCAGGTGTGTTCACGATTCGGATTGGTCCGATTTTATCCCAAACTATGACCAAATCGGACCTAACGGTTAATTTTTTTTCTTGTCCATAATCGGACCGGTTTTATTTTTTAACCAATCACAATCCGGACCGAATTGAACGATCCGGTTTGGCGGTTAACCGGTTAAATCCAAAATCTTTGTTTTGGGCCTTCAATTTTTTTTCTATTTTGGGCTTAATTTTTATTTTCCAATTGTGGGCCCAAAAGAGATTATTTGGGCCTAAAAATTAAAAAAACAACAATAATGAAATAAAAAATACACAATTCGTCTAATAAGCATAAAAAAACACATTTTGTCCCATAAACATAAAAATACAAAAATGATGAAGATTAAATTATGCAAACTGAACCCAAGCAAGCATTTATTTTTCAGTCAGTTTATACACCTGAAATAATAAGAGCAAAGCATTCATAGTAAATGTATTGTATTTGTCGGCCATAGCGAATGACTGAATGTATATATATATTTGTTATAGTTTTTTAATATTTACCGGTCCGGTCCAATTAAACCGGCGGTTTGCCGCAGGTAATCCGTTAACCGGACCGGTTATTCCGGATTTTTAAAAAAAATTAACTACCGGAATTTTTAAGGCTTTTTTAACTGACCATTTAACCGATCTGCGGTCCGAATTGACAGTTTTTTATCGGTTAAAACCGGACCTGAACACCCCTTTAATAATCACATCACAGTAAGTAGGTCCTACCAAAAATAAAAAATTAAGTAGACCCACCCCATGTGAGTGTTATATACACCTCTATGTACATTTATTATGTACTTGTAGCATTTTTCTAGAATTTTTTGATAAATTTTGGGAAATTTTGGTTCGTTGGAAAATAGGTCCCTTCGGGGACATTCGAGAAAATTGGAACGATACAAAAAAGATTAGTATGACATGGTTCGTTGTAAAATAGGAAAACAATATTTGTTTATTTAAAAATATATTTTTATATTATAAATATTAATATATAAGATTTTTTTTATATAAAATGCTAACAAAATTAATAATAATGAATAATTATTAGTATATGAATGAACGAATAATATTTATATTTTAAAATATAGAATTAAGAATTTTCCCCACTAAATCTCTAAACTCATTTTCAACTTCTCCGACTTTTTTTTTTCACTGCACTCACAAGGTCATACATTTGTTTCACTTAACTCTCTGAAACTAAAAAATGAATAAATCCATTAAAAATGTCACATCAATCCTCACTATAAAATTTTTTATTATTTTTTCACTCACACTCCCTCTCCGTTAACTCTTTCCCTTCTCCTTTCCTCTCCTCCGCTTCTCTTTTATTTATTAATTTTTTCTTTTTTGCAAGTTTAGTTTTTTGGCGAACAGCGAACATCTGCCTGAATAATTCTAGCGACAAGAACTCCGACAAAAACCGATGAAGGACGGACGACCCTCTCAGGCAAAATTTCGTCTCTCTCCGGCAAAATTTGGCTTTTTCCAATGAAATAGGTAGCTCAGTTGGTAGCACTATTTACTAGGGACCAATAGGTCTTGAGTTTGAATTATACAAGAGGTAAGTGGAGAACCACTGTTGATTCTCTTTTTTTTAAAAAAAAAAAAATATGTATTTACTGAGGACTGAGGAGTACGAAACTCGTCTTTCTTTTTCATAATTCTCTCTTAATATCTTGCTCTTCATATTTTGTTAAGGATTCAATTTTAAGTATTGTTCTTTGTATTCACCCTATAACAAATAAGGTGACAATAATCTCTTTGTTGTTCATATCTACCAACCATTAAGGTTATTTTTTTCTCGTAGATGATCATTGTACCACTGATGCATGACTATGGTACCTCTATTTGAGTAGTTTAGTGCCTCTGTCATCAGTATTTGATACTAGCTTGTGTTAGGAACTTTGCAGTTTTATTTTATCCAACTCATTTAAAATTTTATATTATTGTTAGATACAATGGAAGAGGTACAAACTGAGTTATTAGGAAACGTTCATACAGTAATAAATTATTTGTCTTCTCTATACACGCCGTATTTAGTCTTGAATAAATGTACACACTTATTGGTAAGAGTGAATGACATGTGGTGCCATGCAGAAATCCGTCTTTTTAGAACGGGACGTACGCTCTTCAGGTATGTAGGAGGGGACCAGTTGGGCGGTGAGATAAGACCTTCTGGGCGGTGGTTCCTCCATCTTAAACGGCTTTATGAGTTTGAATTGTCAGTGAACGTTCACATATTAAGAGTTATTGACAACGAGGGTGATTGGCAGACTTACCCTCAGCGCTTTGGGCCAAGCCGGAGGAGATCCGTATGTCTTATTGGTCCCACTTGGTGCTCTAGTTATGTGGGCTCGCCCGGGATGCGTACACAACATATGCTATAGGTATATCAATACAAAACCACGAATTTACATAAAATAAACTTCAAAACGTCAAATAAACTTGTGAAGCATATAAGCACTTAGGCCCACATGTTCTAAATTAATATATTGATAAATTAGCATAATGGAATCTATTACTATAAAATAACAATAGGGATTTACTTTAAGTAGAGAGTTAAATCCCGCCTAAAAATTCAGATTTTATTATTATTAGTACTTTTTCAAAAATTATTTGAAAAACTGGGGGTTGATTTGTAATTTGAATTCAATTCATTCAAACATTTAGAACATAAACATCATAAGCAGTTTTTTTTATACATTCCATTTTATCTTAACTTACATGTAATAACATTCCTAACAAACATTAAATTTTCTTATATTTTAAAATTAATTACATCAATAAATAATATTAATATACATTAAATATGTATCATTATATGAAAAAGAATATTACTTCTATAAGTGTTATATAAATAATAATGATATTATATGACAATAATTTTTTAATCAAATAATATTTGAGTATTATGACGAATCAAAATATGTAAAATTATTATTTTTCTGTATTAAAAAAATATATATATATTAAAGTATAATTTATATTAATATAAACTGGTCAACAGACTAATATATCGTTAAAATAATTTTTTTTAAAAAAATGTTCTAAGGTACGAAACCCCCATGCATCGCACGTGATTCTCACTAGTAAACTAGATAAATGAACCAAGATTAAATACCAAAATTGATTAAATTTGGATATTAAAATTGAAGGGTTGGGTTCACATGAGAATGGTGCTTAATGAAAGAGATGAGAATAGATCGTATCCATTAGATCGGATGATCTAATGGTTAAAAAAAAATTAAAATTATACTCTCATTAAGGGTAATTTGGTAATTTTTCACACCACACACATAGAAGTTGACCCCACTCCATATTAAATATCCAACTCTCAACAAATAAATCATAATTCACCCCACCCCAACCCAGACCCCACCCCACCCCCGTCTTATCTCCTTCTCTTTCACACACACAACACACACTTTCGCCGTCACACTTCACTCGCCGTCAGAAAACTCGACGGTTGACCCACCACTTGCTACCAGACGCCCGTCCGCCATCAGACGTCCACCCGCAACCATACTCTTCATCCAACGTTCTTCGCAGCCGTCGCCGCCCTCCTCCGCCTTCAATCTCGAAAATCCGGCAGATATTGAACAACGGGCGAATCATATCCGTCACGCTCTTCGGCTTCGGGCGAATAATGGAAAAGCGATTGAAATGGCTGGTCGTACGTGTTTTTTAAGACGACGGCGAGTTCGACCGGATCTATTGAATACAAAGCTTGAAACAGCGGCCGGATTTTTCAGAATTGTCGCTGCCACCGGGATGTTTTGTTGGCGAGCACAGGGACGTACTCCACGGAGTAGCGGACGACCAAAATCGCCGGAGAATCGACCGGAGAGCTTAACCATGAGTGTCTGCATGATTTCAGCGTTTTAAGAATTGTGTATTTCCAAGGGCAGCCTTTTGAGAATTAGATATTTCCCAGGGACTTGATTGCAAATTCATAAATTTTGATTAAATGTCAATTTAATCCCTGGGTCAAATTTATAATTTGCAGAAACTTTAATAATATGTAATAAATTTGCAAATCTAAATTAGGATTTTGGGGCTTCATTGTTTACTTATTTATTTTTTAATTATATAGTGTTGATGGACAATTTTTGTAATTTTATTAATTTTGAGTATTCTTTAATTTAGTTCATGACTAAACATGTAATTTATAGAAATATTGTCATAAATGCATATTAATGATAAACAAAGTATACAATGTTCAAAATTTTTAATATGCTAAAATTTTAGTATACAAAAAATATTAAAATAATAAATACACTTTTAAATTAATAGATAATAAAGTATTTCAAGTATTTAGATTAATTTGATGTTCAATTATATTTACTAAATGGTATTATATAAAGTAATGCACTTTATATACCAGCAAGTTGCACTTGATCAAACAACACGTTGCACTTTATAATACACCATGTTACACTTTATATACCAACAAGTTGCACTTGATCAAACCACACGTTGCACTTTATAATACAACACGTTGCACTTTATAATACAACATGTTGCACTTTACAAATATATATATATATATAT